AATCAGAAGCCCGTATTTGTACACATCATTTCACTCTCCGTATAACCATACACTTCGTTTCACTCCGTTCCTGGTATTAAATTAATTATTCAAATTTACTAATAAAGTTTAAATAATTTATTATTAATATCCAAATTTACTAATAATAATTTTTTAATATTCAATACACTCATTCAGGATTTTAACATTTTTGGATGTTTTCGGTTTTGTTGGGGGTTTATTTACATTGGCCACTTCAATCAATATATTTCTATTTGGTAAATAGTTGTATTAGCTTATTTTCCTATATAATCTATATTGAATCAAAGTTGAAAACTAAAAAAGAAAAAAAAAACTTTTAAATAGGTGAAACTACCAAAAACCCATGGGGAATTATACAATCACTTTCCTGCTGTGGCATCAAGAAAAAAGTTCGAAACATTCTCTATGATCATCTGAAAGATCAGATTCCATTTGCTGATGAAGGTGTGCATTTAGACTATCCTCCCGAAAGAGTCGAAGATAGATTAACTGCGATCGAACAGCGGCATAAAGCTTTAGAATTTCTTCTTCAAGATTATGTAGTTAATGTTAACATTCTTTTCGATAAAGATTTTAACAGAATTCATAATTATTCAAAAACCAAAGACGATAAATTATTAAAAGTAGAAGAATTAGAGTAAACAGAACAAATAGGAATCTATAGCATTTTTCTACATGTGCATAAGAAATTATTATAAGTTTCTTATTATTTTCTTGTCCTCTTTATTATCTTTTTTGTCTACTGAATATTCTGCGTATTTATGAAAATAATGCATTTTATAGGCTGAACCTCTTGATTATCTTTAACTCTTGTATAGCAAATTTTGATTGTATCCATTTTTTTCAATTATGCCGCTATATATATATATATATACATGTATATTAAAATTTAAATTACTGTAAAATCATTCGAAACAAATTCTTGTACTTAAACATAAAATTATTATATCAGCTACCACATAGTTCTTAAGACATATTCAAATTATGAAAGCGCTGTAACGTAATTCTAGATCGTTTAAAATAATGCTTCTTGGCAGGAGTACCGAAAAATTAATTGCTTACAATTACAACCAAGATTGTTAAAAAAAACAACCGCAATACAATTAAATTGCGAATAACAATTAATTACAATTATAAAACTGCAATTTTTGCATTTACCATAAAGTTTGTTATAATGTAAAGTATTTGACTTTAAAGTACTCTATTTTAAAACTGACAAATATTAATTTCACCTATCTGCAGAACTAAAAAAAGCCTTTATGTAGCGCTTGTTTAAAACTTTCCCGCTCATTAAAAAAAGTAAAAATAAAAACTTAGAGTATTATTGCGATATGTGCTTCGATGTTTATAATAAAACTTTGATCAAAAATTACTTGTCAACCATTTAATGAAATTTTTTTAGTTGAATTTTACAAATTGTATCAAATTTTCAAATGGTTGCCGAGATACCTTCGACAAAGTCGCGTTAAACATTTTGGCACAGTTTCTGTAATATAGTAGATGTTTTAATTCATTAAAACTTGATTGAAGATATCTTGGCAATCATTTGATCAAATTCAATGAATTTTTTTTATTAGAATTCTGCAAATCGCTAGAATTTGAATAAAAAATCTTTATTAAATTTGTTCAAGTAGTTGTTGAGATATAGTTGTTAAAAATTTTAGTACAGTTGTTATAATAGATGTTTTAAAAATTCTCTAAAAATTTGATCGAAGATATCTTAACGACCACTTACAAAATTTGATCGAACTACAATAAGAAAATTTATCATACTTGATTGGGTGTTTATTGGATAGTTTTGAACAAGGTTTTAGAAAAATTCAAATATACTGTATATCAAAAATATAAGCCACAAGAAGTTTTAAGTGTTTGATCGGAGGAATCTCGATAACCACCCAATCAAATATGAATTTTTTTTTTATTTAAATTTTATAGATTTGTAAAATTCAAATAAAAAAATTCATTAAATTTGGTTGGATATTTATCGAGATTTTTTTGATCAAAATTTTTAAAAGAATAAAAAATTAAAAATTTATTATTTTATGATTGATTTCTACAATACATGTGATTTCCCGTAAAATGAATAAATACTTTGATAATAATATTTTTTTTTATTTACATCAAATGATTTTAAGCCACGTAAAGTTGATTTTTTCGTTTTGCATAACCAGACCGACCCATTTTTCATTTTTTTTTTTAAATTCAAATTCTGCAATTGTGATGAAACCGGGATTATCCGATAGGACTGACAGAAAAAAAACGAAAAATTAACTTTGCGCTGCCTAATAATTATCAACTAATTTAAAAATCTTTTATAATAAATTAATATTCTCAAATACAATATATTTCTTTGACTTTGTTATTCAAAAAAAATCTTTTGAAAAGATAAATTGCTATCAACTATTTCTCTTGTATCAATAAGTTTAGAAATATATACGCTATTTTCATGTTTTTGCATCATAATTGGTAGTTCTTTAGTTAATTTATCAGCTTCTAAAAATTGCTGTTTGATCTCCTTTTCCTCTTCATCAAAATTATCTTTATCAACAAAATCACTATCGTAGTCATAATCGTAATCGTAATCATCGTAATCACTATCACTACCATAATCATCATTACTGTTGAGAGATTTTTTCCATTTATTTAGTTTTTCAAAAACCTCAACGGCCGTAGGTCTTTTATTCATATCAGAATCAACGCATTGTTTGGCTAATTCAACATAACATTTTGGAGCACCTATAATAAATTCAGGTCGCAATCCATTACAAATCTTTATTGCTAATTCAGCATCAAAATTGTAACCATCGAAAGGTCTTCGTCCAGTTGATATTTCTATCATAATAATGCCAAAACTGTAAATATCAGCAGCTTGAGTAAATCGTTCACCTTTCAAGACCTCAGGTGCTAAATATGGCAAAACTCCATGAATATGACCTTCTTGTTTTTCATCAAACGATATTGATAAACC